TAGTCTATCACCTTTATTAATTGGTTTCTTTAATCCCTCATTTGAATTAGCACTCCAAGCTTTCTGGTGTGTGTGGGAGGCATGAATATATGTTTCATCTAAGTAGACAATTGGACGGCCCTCTGCTCGATAACTTTTTAAACGAATCAGATAGTATAAACGTAGCTTTTGAATATCAAACCTTTCCATTAATATTTTTCTGTTTGTTTTTGTTTTCCGCCAACGAAATCCTAGCGACTTTATTATTTTTCTTAAACTTTCATAGCTTCCTTTGTACCCTGCAGCTTCTCTAAATTTAGTCAGAATTGTTTTTAATGTTGGAACAATATTTTCCGAGATTAACATGAACAGAATAATTCTTTTTAAAATACCTTTGTCAGCTTCATCTATATCATTAACTGTTTTTGGTTTTTAATGGTTTTTCTTGGTGATGAAAATTCCGATATCTCACGGTTATCGATTCTTTTTTTCTCTCCAGAAATGCGGACGACAGTGTTTTTAGATACTCATGTGGCTGCAGCAACACGATCATTTACATTTTTAAATGGTATTGAAGGTGAATTAAAGTTTCCTTCTCTTCTCATAAACTCTATAACATTGGCTATTATTTCGCGAGATTGACTGTTAATCACGCGGCCTCTTAATTTGCTATTAAACTCCATACTTAGGTTCTATTAAACTGTAATGAGCAAAAAACACAAACGAAAATAAAAGAAATGTTTTAGCGAAATTTACATCTGACGTTTACGTCTGAATAAAATAGTGAAATACTTGATGCGCAGAGTGTACTTTTATTGCGTAAATCCGTCGGCCCCGCCAACCGATGCCTCTCAGTAGTGCTTTCTCTGTCTAGCCGTCGAAAGCCTCTAGAAATTTGATGAACTGTATGAGAAACAAAGGTTAATGTTCTTGATGTCTTCTTGATTTTTTACACTATAACTCGTTTCTGCTAGAAGTTGGTTTCCTTTGGAAGTTGAATTTTTGATTTATTCAAATTTTCCTAATTACTTTGATTTTTGTTATTTCCTTTTCAAATAGTTTGTCGACGTCTTAAAATAAAATAAATAAAAATTACAATTATAGCGATATACTGTCCAAATATTGGAAAATGATATTTTTAAGTTTATTCAATAATTGACAATTTGATTGTGACGAATTTCTTTTAGGTACAATGTTTAAATTAATTTTCAATTTTGTAATATTTACTTTCTCGAATGAGAAATAAGGGGCTTATTAATAACAAGAGATTTTCCATATGTTTTGTCTTGGGACTCTAGTTCATTTTCCCTAAAACTAATTTTGTAGTCGTTATTTTCTATAACATTTCCATAATTATTTTAGTTTTGTTTCAATTTGATTTGGACATCGTATTGTTAAAGTTTCTTCTGAGGGAAAAACTGCCATAAACTGGTTTATTTCTGGAATAATTGCCCAAGGGCTTTCTGTGATTTCTAATTTTATATATTTTTGAATTCTCTTTGATAAAGATTTCTTCTTCACAGGATAAATTAATATTGGACTGCAGCTGATTAAAACATTGCTATGTTTTACCAGGCGTACAAATATCATTTAAAGGTTTTATAAATTTATCATTTTATTTTAAAAGGAATTTTGTATAAGAAATTAAGACTTATTGTTACAAATTCTGACTCGTAATTAGTAGGTAGGGGTAATAACTTGATAAGAAGTACTTAATATTATTTTTCATTATTTGGACTTCTTGAAGATGAGTTAAAATTTTATTTATTCTATCACCGTCATTGGCATCTAAATTTCTTGTTAAAAGTTTTTAAAATTATTCCGAACCCTTTCATTAAACCTCATTTCTTTTTATTTCATTTAAAATGAACAATAAAATTTTAAATCTTTTCCTCTATAGCTAACCTAGTTAATGAAATCATATTTTCATAGTTTACTGTTTCTATTTTAAAAAATGTAGTGTTAACATAAGTAAGCTTCAAATAATAATTATTTTGTTTATTTAAATTAGTATATTTTTCGAAAAATGGGTTTAGATCAAAAAAATGTATAAAAGTATGAGTATTTCTTTGTAATTTTGCTGGTCCTAAATTAATTGGAAGTAATCCTAAATTTTGGGTCATATTTTTAATTTCTATTTCTTGTTCAATGAGGAGGAATCAAAAATAAAAGCATACTTTTTTTTAGATCTTTTAATATTGGATAGGTGAATATCTTCAGCGGTATTTCCATGTCTAGGAATAATTTTGGCTGTCTTTGTATTTTTATCTATCGTTTTAATGATATCGGTTTGATACCTATTTTGTTATCTTGTATTGTTATTGCTTATTACGAAGAAATACTCTAATAGGTATATCTTTAGGCAATTCTTCTCGATTTTTGATAGCCTTTTCTATAACTTTTCTTTTATATTTTGAATTTTTTCGTTTATGTTTAAATAAATAAGATTAATTTTTTCTTCATGTTGTGAAATATAATCGTTTAACAATTTTTGCTTAATACCAATTTTAAAAGGAGAAGTGTTGCCTAAATGACCCGTTATAATTTAAAATGGTCTTAGTTTTGTAACTGAATGAACCGAATTATTATAAGCTTAAATGGCATAGTTTACCTTTTGCTCCATGGGTTCGTTTTTATATTCATCTTGATTATTTAATAATCGAAGATATTCTATTATACAAGATTAAAACCTTTCAATTATTCCATTAGATTATGGATGCTGTGACGTAACAAAGTAAATTATAATTTTATGTATTCCAATAGTTCTTTTACCAGTGAATTTTTTAGTTCTGTACCATATCCGAAATTATTTCATCCGAGATATAGTTATGGGTGAAACATTTTATTAAGGTATTTACAGTGTCTAGCACTGTGGCAGAATTTATTTTATATAATTGACGATATTAAGAGAAATATTTTATAATTGTTAAAACATTTGCTCCTTCTAAAGTTATCTGTCCACGTGTAAAATTTTAAATGATTTTACAACTGTTGGAGTAATATTAAAAATAGGTTTAATTGGATTTCTCTTATATTTGGTACATTGACCAATTTCACATTCGTTTGTATTGATTTTCTTTGGTTAGGCCACTAATAAAGGTATTTTATTCGAGTTTTGGTCTCATCTTAATCTCTATGATTATATAGTTTTTTTCCGTGATAATTTTGAATAATATCAATGATATCGCTTGGATCAATATTTATTAAGTTTTTCGAATATTTGATCATATTTATTAGGGAATTTTTAAAAAATGTCTGGACTAAAACATTAAATTTTTTAAAATATAATATTTCACTTTTGGCATAACAAATTCTTTAAAAAGTTTAATAACTTTATTTTCAAAATTAATTTTGGAAAATTAAAGAAGTATTCTTTGCTTATTTTCAAAAAGATTTATTATTGTGGGTTGAGCTGGAGAAAAGTTTACTTTCGAAAATAATAATTTGATGTTTTTAAAATTTACAGGACAATCTACTAATATAGAGTTTTCTAGATTAGAATAAACGGTAACGTTATCACCTAATTGTTCATTTTCTAAATTGTCGTTACTTTCAAGGTTCTTATTAAAAGAGTAGAGCCTTTGAAGTACCTGACCGTTCTTCGATTTCATTTAAATTTAATTGTGTATTCTAGATAAGTCGTCGCAATTTTTATTAATAGTACCCATTTTATATACTATTTAATAATCTTATTTAGCAGTGGCGTGCGGTGACATTCTTGGAAGGGGAAGCGATTGTATAAAAATACAGCAGGCCAGTAAGCACAGCGCCGCAGATGAAAATTTTTCGCGGCGCATTCACCATTTTGTCAAAATCTTACTTTTTTCCTCAGTACTAAGGATATTCGAGATTGAGATTTTTGAAGTGTTACTAATACTTTATTACCTAGTTTGGTACTAGAAGCTATAAAAAACCTACTTAAACGTAAAAAAAAACATTTAACTGAAGTTTTTTTTTTTTTTCTCCAGCATTTTTCGCACAATTGACATTTATTTATACTTGAGATCTATTCGCCTATCCTCAATGGCTGCAAATTTGTTTATAACATCGTCGTAAAATTTTGGATTTTCTGATAACTGTTTAACAAGCTGTGTTTCAATGGATATTAGCGCTAAATTAGAGAGTCTGTTTTCACTTGTTAAATTTGGTATAAAACTTTTAATGCGCTTTAAAGCTGAAAACCTTCGCTCAACTGACGCACTTGTGGCTGGGATGGTTAGTACTAATTTACACAACTTGACGACTTCACAAAGGAACTTATTTAAACCAGTTGTTACAAGAAAATTTAACACATTGATGGGCTACTTTTTATTACTAATTTCAGTTGTTTCATAAACAATACTTAACTGGGACTTTAATGCTGGAATATCGAAAAAATTTCAATAATTTAATTTTATTGAATTAAAAGCTTCCGATGGAAATTTTTATCAATCGTAGTTACTAATATTAAAATTCCACAATTCAACAAATTTTAATTCGTTCAAGTTTTGAAATCGAGAGTTCATTTGTTGTAGAATATTATCAAAATATCGGCGTATAATCGACAATAGGAGGTCTCTCTGTCGCCGACATTATCAATTCTAATTCTTAAGTGTAAAGGTTAAAGGAAAGGTCCTTTATTTCTCACAAGTTGACTTGTGAGAAATAAAGGACCTTTTCTTTAACCTTTACACTTAATCCCTACTACTCACATATGGCTACCCTCACTCCAAATTCTAATTCTCTTTCAGGTTCTAAGCCAATGTTTTGAGTCTTATTCCAAAAGTGTTCAAACTATTCTTGTTTTTTATTTATTTTATTTTTAAAATCATCAATTTGTTTAATGCAAAAGCCAATGTCATTTGACTTTGTCTGTAAAATGTCGAATAAAATGTCAGTAAAAGGAAAAATCTTTGCAAAAATGTTAAGCAAAAAATTGAAATCAAAGTTTTGTTTTAGCCAATGCAAATACCCTTTAGCAGTAGTAACAGTTTCAGCATCCCATGTGTCTTTATTATCAGAAACGTCTTGAAAAAAGTTTATCAAAGAATCACGGTATTGAAACACTGTTTGCCTAAAGGTTCATTGTAGTTCCATCGCGTCAGAGCAACTTTTGAAAACCTTCTTTGAACGTGAACGTCCAAAGCACGAGTTCTTTTCGATGACTTTAAAAAGAAGGAAGCCAGACCACCAAGCGCCGAAAAGAAAACTTTGCAATCTTCTATATTATCCATGCTTTGCGATAAAACCAAATTAGGTCTATTTGCTATACAGTGAACGAAAATTGCATGTTTAAACTTTTCTTTCACTCTAGCTTGAAGACCTCCTAAATGGCCAGCCATTACCGCAGCACCATCGTAGCTCTGGGCAACAAGGTTAGAACCACATTCTAAACTTGAAATAATCACAAACAATTTTAAACAATGCATCTGCAGTTCGTTCGCTAGTGACGTCCAAAAATCCTAATAATCGCTCTTGAGGAATGCCATCCAATACATATCGCACAACAATGGATAATTGACTTAAGTTTGCTACATCTGTGGTTTATTCAAGCGCAATTAATACGAAAGGTGCTTTCTCAATTTCACTTTTAATGTGATCCATCACAACGTCGGCAGTACATTTAATTAAATCATTTTGGATTCTGTTTGAGGTACCTCGGAAAGTAGTCGAATCAATAAAATGATTTTTTAGTGTATTATCGTATTTTGCTAAAAAACTTAAAAGGTCTATGTAATTTCCTCGATTGGCGGATCCACTTGCTTCATTGTGATCCCTAAAACTTGGTTCATGCCCTCCCAGGAAACAAGTTACATCTATTAATCGTTGTAAGATGTCCCTATTTTTTTTTACCCTTTCATTGTGAATTTTGTTGCTTATTTTTAAATAATTGTCCAAATTATGTTCAATGCGATAGGTCCCGAATGGTTTTTCTTTAATTGTAGCACTTATATGAGATTTGCTATTTACATGTCGTTTTAGACTTTTGTGAAAATTGTTCAAGTCTGTAATACCGACTGAGTTCCAATGTATTTTTTCGACTATATTAAAAAGTAGGCAAGGCCAGCAGAACAATTTCTTCAAAGTTTTGCAGCTGGTTAACCATTTATACTTTTCATAGAACCCTACGTGAAAATGCCTGGTAAATTTCTTTGCTAATTTTTCTACTTTCGTCTTTAAATTGATAGGATCCTTTAGTATATTAGAATTAATAATGTCCGTTTTCTCTTCAAATTTTCTACTTGAAAATCCTTTTTTTAATAAAGATCACACAATTTACCACATTATTATTGTTCACAGGCATAGTACATAGTTCCTTCATTTTACAAAAAGAAAAACAACTACGAAAAACAAACCGAAATCTACCTAATATCTAACATTTTCCTCACACGTCGATTCGCGGTGCGAATTGCAATAAGCGTAAGGCGACGTAACAATCGCTGCTTCTCGACCGTATTTCACGTGTGCAGACTGAAACTGTCGCTGCAAAGCAGGGTCAATAACTCTAAGCGAAATCACTTCAAGATGAACAGGTTATTTCAAGAGGCGCTTCCACTGACAGACCGTTTGCACGTTTGCCCAATTAATTTTCTCATATGTGGTGCGTGCGTTTACACACTAATGAATTGTTAGTACATTTACGAAGTTTACGTAATGTTTCAGAGAAAATATAGTACCTAATTTAATATTAATTTCTATGCATTGTAAACTTAAAAATATTTATTTTTAAATTCCAAATATTATCCATATCTCAAAGTGGTCCGAAGTAGATTAAAGGGAAGTAAAAAGCTTAAAGTCTGTCGACCACATACATTTATTAGGTTCCAAGCGCTTTCGACCTAAAAGGTCATCATCAGGCTAAAAATAATTTTTTTTTGTAAGTGAGTAGGTATTATCTGCAATAATAATTTAGGCATAACAAAACGTTTTTTTATAGAAATGCTAGGTGTCTTACCACTATGTGTCCAGAGAAAAATTATTATTGCAGATTGTACCTACTCACTTACAAAAAAAAAAATGTTTTGCCTGATGATAACCTTTTAGGTCGAAACCGCTTGCAACCTAATAAATTTATGTGGTCGACAGACTTTGAGCTTTTTACTTCCCTTTAATTTATTTTTAAATTTCAAAGTGTAGGGCAGCGGTGCTTCCCCCGCTTCCATGGACCGCACGCCCCTGGTATTTACCAAGTTTTAGACACCACCTAACCAGTTTAGAGTTGGGCCCTTTCAGAGAGAACAACCACTATATCCTATATCCGGAACTTTTTTGCAAAACGATAACACCGGAAGTATTTTACTGCCCATACGATAGCAAGCAATTCATTTTCACTAGTAGAGTAAGAAATCTGTGATTTATTTAAGGTTTGGCTAGCGTAAGAAACCGGTAAGTCGCTGCCGATTTTTCCTTGGCCCCTATTGCAAAATTAATGCATCTGTAGAAAGACTAAACGGCTGCGGAAAATCAGGATATTGCAGGATAGGTTCGTTGATTAGAAGTGTTTTACTGATCTTTAGTATTAATTACAACTCCTTTCTTCAAACATTTAGTTGGCGGTAAAGTAATTTTTCAGAAATTTTTAATATACATTCTGTAATATCCCAAATGACCCAAGAATATTTAATTTAAGTTATATTTTGTCTTATAATTTTATAAGCCAACTCCTGCTGTGTCTACCTTCTAAAGAAAAAAAGGTCATCAGTTTATAATGAACCAGGTGCTCCTATGGAGCTCCTAAAAAAGGGGCAATTAATGCCTAAATGCAATTTTGTTATTAAAAAATGTATAGTTTGACGTAGACTGGTCAACGGACGAAGGGCCACGAAAACGACAATGGCAGGCCGTATGTTGTGCGGGCCTGGTCTAGACAGATAACACAAGATTCATTTTGTATCCCACGTAGAATATTATCTATTGTTCTTTAAAAGATCGCTGGCACATTTCTGATTCCAAAGGGCATGTGCAAGAACTCATAAGGACCCTTTTTGGTATTAAATGGAGTTTTAGGTATGTACTTTTTTGCCATTTGTATCTGGTGAAAACCCGACGCTAAACCAAGCGTCCAAAAATATTGACATCGTTCTAGCTTGTTAAGCAGGGTTGTAATATTGGGTACGAGATATCTGTATCCTATAATTTTTCATTCAATTTCTTATAATCGACTAATATCTGCCATTTTTGTTGTTTGCTTACAACCCAGATACTTGAACTCCACGGTAGAGTCGAAGACCTCATAATATTTTGACCCAACATGCTTTGAATCTGTTTTTGAACTTCCTTACGAGGTACCTCAGGGTATCTATACTATCTAATGTATCTTTGGTATCTTGTCAGTAATTTTTATCTCATGTTTTATTTTACTAGTAAACGTTAATTTGTTACCGTCTACATGAAAATATTGGAATATTCTGTAATTAATTTTAACATTATTTTCCGTTGTTCCGAATTCATTTGTTTAGTGCGAACTTTAGAAATATCAAATTTTATATTTGTGGCATTACAACTAATAAAATTGGGAGATATAATTGGATCCAACAATAATTCTGCTTCCAATGTTTTATTTAAATCTACTGCGATATTTGATTTTGTTTTATTTAAAATAGTATATAAAGCAGTAAAGTTTTTGATACAGAATTTATAAATCTAAAACTCGCATATAAGGTATCCATTTTTTGTTTTTTAAATTTATTTTAATTATCTGTTCATGTCTTGGAGGCACTACTATAGAATTCATGCCCTAAGGAACCTTGTAGTAATTTATTTTTATTTTACTATCAGGAATAACGAGTAAATTTTTAGTTAGATTAATAGTAGTCTTTTTTAAGTTATCGAGCCGTAATATGCATTGAAATTTATCATGAAATTTAAATATGGAATATTTTAAGTAAATTGGTTTCTTATATCCAAAAATATGTGATGAAGGCACTGCCGTACAGTAATTTTCCTGTGTAGTACGGTGAGCGGTCGAAATTTAAAGGGTTCAAATTTAATCATTTTTTTAAAATATTTTTCAGCAGCTTCATTTAGTTCAAATGATCTGGTACTGTATGTACCAATAAGAACTTTAAAATAAAATTTACAAACACTTATGTAGGGTAATTCGCTTTGGTCGTTAAATTTAGTAATTAACAATTTTTAATTCTGTTTTTCCCGGGGCAATTTTCTCTAAAAAATTGTCTTCTGTATATTAAGGAATTTCAACTATTGGTTGTTCATCTAAAGTGTGTAATTCTTCAACAAAAAATGTTTAAGTTAGGTTTTGCCGAAAGTAATTTGGATTTTGAGACTTTTGATTTTGATAATGTTGAATGGATTTCTTGTGGACGTACTCATTGGAGTGAATTTTGGAAAAGTTTTAGTTGAATTTGGCTTAAATATATTTATCAAAATAATTATTATTAGTTATTTTACCCGTAATAGGTAAGGACGGAATATTAAAAAGAAAGTTGTTTCACCTGCAGTTGAGAGTTATAAGCAAAATTAGTAATTTGTAATTGTTTATATGTGTTTCTATTTTCAAGAAAACTATACCTAGGCACAAATTTACCTTTAGGAGTATTGAAACCTCAATTATGTTTTATAAGTCATTTGTTAATATATTTAACGCAAAATATAGATCTGCAGGAATTTTGGTGCGTATAAGTGAACCTAGTGGTACGTAACATTTCTCCAAATTACGACAATGATGATAAATATTGATAGAAAAATTGATAAAGTAACTATTTCATGGCCAGCAGCATGAGATTTTATATTAGAAATTTGAAGATATAATAAGTGCTGTATTTTATTAAAGAAATCAAAAGGTGTTTTATTGTCTTGTTTGGTTTGCATCATCTCTATATTAAATATAAACATGTTTCTTTGATCGAAGTATTTACTAGAGAACTTTTTATATTAATAAACTTTAAAAGTGACTGTCTTCACTATAACTACTGGTATTATTATCATTGTCTTTTCTGAGGCTTATTATTATATCATCTATTAAGTTTTCAATTGCTATGTCCACTTTACAAAATAAAGTTTTCATCTTTTTGACATGCCTAATGCATTTTCTCTAATGTTCTTCTTTTTCATCTAAAACTGTCATCAAAAACAAATTAATATGTTGTATTGTTTCGCGAAACCTAACCTTTTGATTGTGACCAGATTAGTTCAATTGGATTTAACTCTGTATGGTAAGGAAGCAATCTGAAAATGTTAATTTCTTTTCTTTAAGCCATTTCGTCTATAATATATTTTTTGAATTTATTTTTATGTTGTATTGCTATTACGAGTAATTCTGCCTTTAAAGACTTAGGAGGATTGATAATATTTTTAAAATGAAGCTATTTTAACATATCTTTTTTTTTTCATCTTGTTATAGGTAGTGACTTCTTCAGTCGACTATGATAGGATGCTTATCTGAAACAATAACGGAGTTGGCTAGATT